TCTCATACCAGAAGCTACCAGAGCGGCGACGGACCAGTTCTTGAAGTCATAAACTCACTTGAAGTTGCAGCAATCCTCCTGCAGTCTCCAGGGTGCTGGCCCACCTCCTGGTGATGGGGTTACAGCCTGCCCTCACGGGAGGTCAGAGGACAACCTGCAAGAGTCAGTTGCTCCTTTCGCAAGTGGGTGCACTGGGAAGAGCAGGCTGGGGGCTGTAGTGTCTTACCCAACAGTCCTGCTTTTCAGAATGGGACAGGGGTCTGAGCTGGGACCCTGGCAGAGCAGTGTGCTGGCCGGGGCAGGCGGGGCTCACCTGCTGTGTGCTACTGTACCAGGCGGTAGGTGATGTAGCGGCCGGCTGTCTCACTGGGCCGGATGATCTTCACAACCTGCCCCTGCTTGATCCCAAAATAGCGCGCCACTGGGTCCCCAGCCTGGATCCTGGGCAGCTGGCTTTCGCGAAGCTTGTATCGAGCCAGCAGCTCTGTCACCTCCTCCTTTGTCATGACCACATGCTCAGGGACCAGCTCGTATTCCGTGATGTTGATGAGCAGCTCTTGCTGTAGGAACTGCTCCAGAACGTACTTCGGTGCCATGTCCACCAGAGACTGCTTGGCGGAGGGCGTCATGCCCTGCTGTACCACGATCAGCCCGCGTGTGATGTTCTCCTCCTGCATGCGCTGGCAGTACACCTTGATGGTCTTGATGCCCACCTTGGGCTCCTCTGCGGACACATAGCACGACCCTCACTGCCCTGCCTGTGGTCTCGGGTGTCTCTATTTGCCAGGGAAAATCAGAACCAGGAAGGAGCCTTGAATGGGGCTGGGCTGCACGGTACCCTGACCCTGTTCCGTCAGCTGCTCTGAGGTTTGGGGACATGGTATTGTCAGCTTGGGCAGCCTCAAGGAAGAGGAGACAGATCCTGTGTCTACATGGGGCTAACCTCAGCTCCTCAGACAGACTGGGGTTCACTGGAGCAAGAATGCCCAAAGTGCAGAACCAGGCCCACAGGACACACGCATGGTTTGCAAACTCTAGTTTTTCTTTTTAGGACCGCGTTTCTCGGCACCAGCGGTTCTCAATCGTAGGTACTGACCCGAGACCACAGGAAAATACAGATATTTACACTGTGACGCATACAGCAAAATAACAGTTATGAAGTAGCAACAGAAACAATTTTATGGCTGGGGGTCCCCAAAACACACTGCACTGTTTTATTAAAGGGTGGCAGAGTTAGGAAGGCTGAGAAATCACTGCATAGACCAGGCTATCCTGAACTCACGGTAAAGACCAGGCTGGTCTGAACTCACTGCTCAGACCAGGCTGTCCTGAACTCACTGCATAGACCAGGCTATCTTGAACTCACTGCGCAGACCAAGCTGGTATGGACAGTCAGCCTCAGCCTCTGCTTCCCAAATGCTACGATTAAAGACATACGCTACCATGCCCATCCTTGCACCCCCAACTCTCACACTAAAAACACAGGCCCCAGGACCTCAAAGTGCCAGAATATTGAAGGAGACAGGCTGTTTGGGGACACCACCAGGAGGCAGACGCCCAGGGTGGCAACCCCTCTCCTGAGACACATTCCGAGCTGCCTGGGGTGTAAGGCAGAAACTACAGAATATAGCAGACCGGAGCCAGGGTGTCTGAGAGCAAGGGGCAGAGAATGGACAGGAACTGGACAAGGGAAGGTTCCCAGGGGAGGCTGGGCGGCTGCCACAGTTCTGCAGCAAAGCAGGGCCAGGGTGGAACCCATGCTCACTGGTGGGCAGAAAGCAGAAGACCACAGACAAAGGGGAGAGAGCTGTTAGACACAGCCATGAGGCGGCACCAGAATGACGGACACCCACCTGGGAAGAACACAAACATCTGGTCTGTGGGGTCATCATTGTGGGCCACCAGCACGGTGAGGTCTGTGCGCCTTGGTCTTCCTTCGCTGGGTTTGTCCCCAAACTGTGCCTTGAACTCCTCAAGTGTCTGGTCCAGTTCATCCTGAGTCACCAAGTAGCCACGGTCATGACACAGCTGCAGGGACAGAGAGCCAGCTGTACTTAGAGACGGAGTGGATATCCGCAGGAGAGCTGGGGACTGCAGCACCCTGACGTGACCCTGACGTGACCCTGCAGCGCTGCAGGCCGCGTGGGCTCCAAGCTCTGGACTGGCTCCAGCCAAGACCCACCCATCCGCAGGCAACCACAGGGCAGCCTCACCGCGCCCCCACCCCCACAAGCTCCTCAACACGGGGACCAGACATCGCCATCCTGTTCAGTCTTGGGGTCTGAGCGTCCTGAAGTCCACCAAACACAGTAAATCAAAACTTCGCAGACCTCTTTCTTCACTGGCCTGGAACTCACTCTGTAGACCAGGCTGGCCTCGAACTCAGAGATCCTCCAGCCTCTGCCTCCCGAGTGCTGGGATTAAAGGCGTGTGCCACCATTACCCCGCCTACCTAGATTTCTTTTATTAACATTTTTGAAACAGGGTCTCGCTATGAAGCCCTGGGTGACCTCAAACTTTCAAAATAGACCAGCCTGGTCTTAAGCTCAGAGACTGACCTGCCTCTGGCCCAAGAGTGACGGGGATGAAAGCCTGTGCCATCAAATGAGCATTTTTACCTTCTGGTTATTTTCGTTTCTTAACACAAGCCCTCCTTACAAAGCCCCGGCTGTCCTGGAACTCACTCTGTAATCATGTAATCAGGCCGGCCCCGAACTTAGAGTCACCCGCCTCTGCCAGCACGTGGGCCGAAGCTGGGGTTGGAGATGGCTGCGAGCTGCCATAGGGGTACTGGGGCCTGGGTTAAGCTGGCGGAGCGGCGGCCCAGCACCCCTAAACCAGGTGTGAGCACGAGCTCCCCTCTGGGACAGCGCCGGGAGGCTGAAGCAGGAGGACTGCCATCGGGGGAGGCCAGCGTGGGCGCGCCCCGCACGGAGGCGGGAAGCATCCACGCACCCGGGACGCCTGCCTGGGCCGACAGCCGCAGTTCGTCCGCAACTCGGCCCTCGCTCAAGCCTCCCCACGCGAGACTCGCCTGCATGATGGTCTTGCGGATCTTCCACAGCCGGTAAGTCTCCTCCTCATCGTCCATGTTGCAGCCCTTCCGAAACAACTTCGCTTGCACGCTCGTGCCAGCACTGCGCCTGCGCCGGTCTACGAAAACTGCGCCTGCGTGGGATAAGGGACAGGCTTCCCCTGCCCCACCCAGTTCTGTGCTGTCTACGGCGAAGGCCTGAATAAAGCGACGTTCACGGCAGGCTGCGCGGTGGGCAGCCCCAGCGCTGAGCTTCGCGAGATCGCGCGCGGGAAGATATCGCGATAATTGTGGGTATACGAATCCCAGCTCTCGGAGGCAGAGGCCGCTGGAGCCGTGAGTTCGAGGCCAGCCTGGAAGTGTGCGGGGCATGGGATGGTGGAGCAGCCTAGCAGGCTTTCTCTCATGGGCCGTGCCTCGACTTTGTGCAGGGACCCTATACAAGAGCCAAGGCCATGGGCCTCAGTTTCCCTTTATGTACAAGGTCTTTTTGTTGTTATTTGTTTGTTTTCTTTCTTTCTTTTTTTTTTCGAGACAGGGTTTCTCTGTAGTTTTGGTTCCTGTCCTGGAACTAGCTCTTGTAGACCAGGCTGGTCTCGAACTCACAGAGATCCGCCTGCCTCTGCCTCCCGAGTGCTGGTATTAAAGGCGTGCACCACCACTGCCTGGCAGTTTGGTTTTGAGACAGGGTTTCTCTGTGTAGCTCTGGCTGTCCCAGAATTCACTATGTAGACCAAACTCACAGAGATCTGCCTGCCTCTGTCTCGAGAAGGCTGGGATTAAAGGCGTGCACCCCTCCTCCCTGATGACCGTCTCATTCTTGGTGGTGATGAGTGGTCATGAAGTTTCTGCACCCCAGTAAACCTCTCCGCTGACAAATCACACAAAAATCAAACCAAATAGAAAAAGTCCAGGTTTAATGGATACCAGCACCCCTGGGTGGCCTTCCAACACCTCAGAGAGGAAATGGGGAAAGGAAGATCAGAAAATCATGGGTTTGTTCTCTGGGGGGCTGTTTAAATGCCCTGTGGGAGTGGTCTTGAGCATCTCTGAGCGGGGTCACCCTTTGGCAGGCTTTCTTGGGGGTGGAGTCTGGACTGAGGCAACTCCAAGGGGAGGGGTTTGGGATGGAACTTTCCACCCAAACATTCCAGACTCTGGGTATATGGATGCCAGGGGCTGAGGTGAAGCCTTAACCCAAACCTTCCAGACTCTGGGTTTATGGGCACACGCCCAGGGCTGGGGTGACGCTGCCACTCAAACAGCCAGAACCTGAGTGTGGGACATAAGAAGACAGTGGGTGCAGGACAGGGGCTTCCCAGTGGCCACCCGGATGAGTTCCACTGTGGGGAGCTAGCCCCATCTCTAAGAGTATCTACCAGTGCCTGCCTGCAGGAGCCCCTCCTCCCCTCCTGTGGTCTTCCAAAGGAAGTGGCCCCCAATGGAACAGGCACGAAAAGGGGACGCGGCTTTGTAGGAAGAGGTGTGGCCTTGTGGAGGTCTCTTGTGTCCTGGCAAGGCCTGATGGTTAGAGGTCTCAGTCTTTTCCAGCTAGAGACTCCCTCCCCAGTAAGACTTCCGCTCCTTACACGCCCTCTCTGGAGAATGTCTTTAGCAGGGGGACTGACCTTATCTGAAAGTTGCATCTAAGCCTGGACACCGGGTGGGTTATCTCTAGTGTGACCCTTGGCCCAGTTTCCTGATAGAAGTTTGCCCCCTGCTGCAAATTTGGTTACTAGGACTTGTGCTCAGAGCTTTGATACAGGACCCTGCTGCCGCTAGCTCAGCCTTTAATAGGAGCCTGCCCCTTCATGCAAAAAGGGTTTGTCCCCAGGCTCCCAATCCTATACTCTCCTGTACTCTGGAGTAAAATTGAGCTGTCTCACTGAGGTCACATCCAAGAGGGCTGTCCCCGTCCTGTCACATCCCCAAGAAAGAGGGAGAACCACAGTATACGCTTGAAGGGACCAGGACCACTCTTTATTCCAGGGGTCGGTTTGCTAAGACCTCTGCCCCTTATTACTTAAGTTGACGCGTGTCAGCTTCAACCAGACCCTGGAAGTACGTCCAGGCAGCCAATCAGAGTCCTACCTGGTCACTATTATTCTTTTAAAAACGGCGGGTGGGGTGTGTAGACGAACACAGGATAGACGAGACACGCGCAAAAGGAGACAAGACACGCAGCTCCCACGTGGGTGCACTTTAATGGGGGGAGGGGGACACGATAAGGGACGGGTGTGCAAGATACACAAGGGTAAAGGGCAAGAGAGAGCAAGACCTCGTGGAAGCTTGCTTTTTAACGGGAAGCGCAAGGTTATCTGGGAGAAATGACCTGCACCTGAGCATGCCCGCGTGCGCAGGTATTCGTAATCCAGGAGGAGTCTGGGAGCTGTAGTTTCCAAAGGAACAACAGTCACAAGCAGGGACTGTTCTTGCTATCTTCAGTCAGACAGACCCTAGACACCACAACCACAGCTGCTTACCCGATGTCATAAGCCAATCACAAAATGATTCCTGTATCAGTAAGGGTCTACACCCAATCACTTAACGGCAGCTCGAATTCCCCTAAGTAGGCTTCAAGGGCTGCCTTACCCTCCCCAGGGTGAACACCATTTTGGGTGGGTCCCAGAATGCTGATTTTTCTCGAGAATAAAATGGCTTTCTGCAAAAGCATACCCTGTGTCTTCTGGTCATTTGGAGCGACCTGTGCACCCTACTCAAGATACCACCCATTGTCTCAGACCACTTCCTGTTGCCTGCAAGTCAAGATGTAGGACTCAGCTGCTCCTCCTGCACCATGTCTGCACCATGCTGCACCATGATGATGTCATGCCCAAATCCGCGAAGTCCCCCAAAAGCCAACTAGGAGACGGAGTCCTGTATGTAAAAGCAAAGAGCCTTTATTTTATGCAAGTTACAAACTCGGTCTCTCCACATGTCCAGCATAGTGGAATAAACAAAGATCCCTGAGCTCAGTTAGAGTTGGGTTTTTATAGTTGGGGGTGAGGGGTGATTGGCTGACATTTGTCTAGGGTGTCCTGTTGAGTGTGTGCTGGCAGGTGGTCCTATCTACAGCAGTCGGAACATTAGGCATTTCCTTTGGATGGTCTGTTCTTGGGTGGAGGTCGGGTAATCTCAGCTTGTGGTTCTTCCTGCGACCAGGTATTGCTTCAGTGTAAACTACTGAGACTCAGGCCTCCATCTAAATTTATCGATGGCTGAGTCCTACTCTGGCAGGTGATAACGGTTGGAAGCAAAGAACTTTCTTTGGATGATCTGTTCATATTGAGCTTATCATGGCTGGTTCCTACCAATGACAATGGACTAAACCTCTGAAAATGTAAGCCACCCCAATTTAATGTTTTCCTTTATATCAGTTGCTGTAAAAAAAAAAAAAAGCTGGGTGGTGGTGGTGCAACCTTTAATCCCAGCACTTGGGAGCTTGAGGCAGGTGGATCTCTGTGAGTTCGAGACCAGCCTGGTCTACAAGAGCTAGTTCCAGGACAGGCTCCAAAGCTACAGAGTTGCCATTGTTGTTCTTGTTAACTGCAGCATGCCAACCCAGGACGTGGTTTTGTGCTTGAAAGCTCCCGCTGAGAAAGACTCAGGGCTACACTTGGATCCCAGACACCTAGTGTGGTCGCTAGCCGGTTAATAAAGAGTTTCCATTGGCTTCGCTGGTGAATACCCCATAACACCAGAGTGAAACCGCAAAACTAAACCACCAAGACAGCCACCTCCTCCCGAAGGCAGCAAGGCTGACGCTGTAGGTGCCGTCGGCTCTGAGACAAGCAACAGAGCTGGAGCACAGATAAGGAAGAACTTTCGTTGTAGAACATTGGTTTATGCCGTGGAACATTTGCTTAATAATGCAATGTGTGTTGCATTCTTGTGTTAGAAGATTTATCTGTCGCGCGTGCGCGTATCCAGTGCCCCGTCTGCATGTGCACCTGCAGACCAGAAGAGGGCGACAGATCTCATCACAGATGGTTGTGAGCCACCATGTAGCTGCTGAGAATTGAACTCAGGACCTCAGGAAGAGCAGCCAGTGCTCTTAACCTCTGAGCCATCTCTCCAGTCCCTAATAGCAGTTTTAATAACTACTTCTGCCCCAAATCCAGAGTGGTCTGATGTGTAAGTGCACACAGCCTATGCTCAGAATAAACCTCTCACCCTGAAGGGTCTCCAAGTCCAAAACGCGGTCCCCATGATGTGAGCCTCTGCTCAGGCATCACCAGGACCGCAGAGATGTCAACAGCGGCACAGATTCAGGGCAAACCCACCCAGATCGGACTGCTTGGCCAGTCTGCCAGGTCTTCGTCAGGCCTTTAGCAAACAGCTACCGAACATGCCTTAGGGAGCCAACGGCCCTTGCAGGATCCGGAGGGAGGAACTAGTGGGTTAAGGGATCCGAGATGGGAAAGAGAGAGGAGATCCAAGGCTGAATGCTTGGGTGGGATGAGTCGAGAGGCAGTGCAGCACGGTGCAGCATGGAGCAGGCACGGAGCAGGCACGGTGCATCACGGTGCAGCAGAGGTGATTGCTACCACTGCCAGTCAGCGCCCCAGTCTCAAGGAGTGCCCTTTACCCTGGGATCTGACAGAGGCCCCCGCTGGAGCAAAGTATAAGCTGGCTCTGTTTCAGGAGAGGACACTCCCTCGAGTCTGTTGCTCCTGCTCCTGGCTGTGTAAGCCAGCATCTTAGAACCTCCTTTTCCGTCAGCATGGATCATGAATTAATCTCACCCAGTGAGGGTTCTTGGAGCCTATTCCCATGTTCTGAATGTCTTTTTTTTTAAAAGATTTATTTATTAAGCATACAATGTACTGCTGGCAAGGAAGGCACCAGGTCTCATTACATTACAGATGGTTGTGAGCCACCATGTGGTTGCTGGGAATCGAACTTGGGACCTTTGGAAGAGCAGCTAGTGCCCTTACCCTCTGAGCCATCTCTCCAGCCCTCCTGAATGTCTTAACCAACAGAGCAGCAAATAGTAATTTCTCTGTGTTTTCCTGGGGCTGGTGTTACTGCAGACATGGGAGCTGCATGCTGGTTCAGTTAGATGCTCCCTACATACTGACATTTGGTCTCCTCCTCGACACTGAGCCCATCCCAGGGCTCTAATCTCTGCCGAATCCACAGACATTAGACTT